CGCTGACGAACCGAGCCAGGTTGATGTAATCGGGCAGGGTCCACCTGGACCCTGCCAGTGGCATCTGTTGAGCGATCCCCTCATCCAGACCACACCAGAAACAGTCAACAAGAGCCCACCGGTTCGAGGGAAGTCTGCTTGAAGCAGGTGAGGAATTCCTTGATGTACTCTTCCAGGGAACGGCCGTCTTGATAAATCGAACATAACTGTTCCAGGGGATCCATTAGAAAAATCTAAAGAAAACACTTTTAAAAAAAAAATGAGAAAACAAAACGGGGAGAAGGGGCGCCGCTTACTTTTTTTGGTCCGGTATTCTGCTACTCTGCGGAGCGAGGAACGAGGAGACGAGGAGTACATCAACAATGAGATTGTAATGACATCAAGGGAACCAGGAAAACACACGTAGCAGGAGAGGTATACACATACAGACATTCAATACCGGACGACGAAACAATGAAAAACACAGGGCTTAAGTACTCTGAACTAAATGGGGAACACCTGGAAATAATGACATAATAAACATTGGAAACACCTGGGACAAATGAACCTATTCAGGGAACAGGAACAGGAAGACCAAATAAGGGCATAAACATAACATGGAGCACGTGGGGAACAAAACACAACACAAGACAGAAACAGAGCCTGACAACAATAGAGTCATTATTTAGATCAGTTCAGTTCAAAATTTTGTTCCAACCCAATACTGTCAGTCAGGGTTATCATAGTTAACTAAAACTAAAACTGAAACTAAAACCATAAAAAAGTTACTTGAAATAAAAAGTTTTCAAGGCAACATTTCTCATTTTAATTAAAATTTACTAAAATAACTAAAACTAAAAGTACAATTACTAAAACTTTAACTGAAGACAGAACATATAAAATAAAAACTCATTCTAAATATTAATAAAAACTATAGTAGTATTTCAATGATACTAAAAAACATCCCTGGTGTCAGTGCAGTTAAATAGATAATATTACTGTCTTTTTAACCCCTTTCAGCCTTTTAATGATTTTTAGTACCTCGATATTTAAGTAAATACTGTGAATTTTTTAAATGAAAAATACTAGATTAAAAACAATAAAAATAATAATGGCCACTAAACTTTAACATTAACTCAATAAATAATGAGATTTATTCATTTTCAGTCATGTGCATCAGTGACAAACAGACAAACATGCATCCAGGAACATGAATTATTAAAGTAAATGGAGATGATCTTGATTTCATGTTGAATTTGTGACCCTGGAGCACAAAACCAGTCATAAGGATCAGTTTTTGGAAACTGAGATTTATACATCATCTGGAAGCTGAATAAATAAGCTTTCCATTGATGTATGGTTTGTTAGGATAGGACAATATTTAATTATCTGGAATCTGAGGGTGCAAAAAAATCAAAATATTGAGAAAATCATCTTTAAAGTTGTCCAAATTAAGTTCTTCGCAAAGCATATTATTAATCAAAAATTAAGTTTTGATATATTTACGGTAGGAAATTGACAAAATATCTTCATGGAACATGATCTTTACTTAATATCCTAATGATTTTTGGCATAAAAGAAAAATGTATAATTTTGACCCATAAAATGTATTGTTGGCTATTGCTACAAATATACCCCAGCGACTTAACACTGCTTTTGTGCTCCAGGCTCACATATATGTTTAAATTGAATCTTGAAGCTAATCTAAATGACAAGATGTTCATAAAACTCAAATGGCAAAATAAAAAGCACATTAGATAAAAAACAAACATGTAGGAAATATTCAATATATTGGCCAGCACTATCAGGCTAAAACACACACAAACAAGTAAGCACTCGATTACGCATCACATTACACAGGAAAACAACATGCATTCATTCTGGAGCGGCGTCTCCATTAGTCTGATTCCTGAGGTGCTGTCAGTCCCAGAGTCTTCGTCTCAAATCAAATGAGAGGCGATCAATGCCGCATTAAAGAGAGAGAGAGACGCTCCAAATACGGGAAAAGCATCTTAATGACTTCCAATACGCCACCGCTAGAGGAAAGACGCTTTAATTCAAATAGATTTGCCTGTTTTGATATAAAAATTAATTCCCAGAGCTTCTGTCTTTCCTCCATTAGCTAATATCGAGCGCCAGCCGCTTTTACCGTAATGCGAGCGATAACCGGCTGGTTACTGGTGGAAGGTTTCCTCGGAGGACCGAGGGTTGATTCTGCTGGGTTTATTCTCTAATAAAGTGCGGTAGTGATCACACACCATCTCAGCCCATGATTCCCTCCACAGAGATTTCAAACAGTCCTCAATAAAGAGCTCAAACCAGCCAAACCCAGCAGATTACACCGTTTCATTCTGCATGTGAAGTCATGCAATCAAAACCACCCACAACTCAACCATTACGAGCATAAAAACCACCAATTGTGAAGTTTAATTCAAATATGCACAGATATAAAAGCAGTTTGACAGCTACTGATTTCTAATGACGGATGGAGATTATTTCAGGATTATGGATAGTAAAACAGCAAATATCATCAGTGACCTCAAGGAAAGACGGCCTAGAAATGTTTATATGTTTAAAAATTCCCTATGATTTTTACTTTTAGAACAAAACAGTGCTCGATAACCCTAAAATATGTTCAATGACGTCCATTACAAACAAACAAAACGATCGACGTGTCGATCCATTTAAAGCGTCAAATCATCAGATGAACGCGATTTCTGCTCGATTTCTAATGTAAAAAAATCCCTGTTAAATCAGCCAAAAACCCTCTAAAAACGTCAAGAAGGTAAAACTGTGTTCCTGTAGGTTTATACAAGTAAATTGAATTCTTGTTTAAGACAATTTAAGGATAAATGAAAGGAAACACAATATGTTTTCTTACGGTAAATGTCTAGACTCTAGAAAGCAGACAATGAGTTGTATTAGTGACACTTTAAAGTTTGAAAATACAACTTACAACAGATCTCCACCACTTTTTAATGAATTTTGATTCTTAAAAAAAAATGCTAAAGCTTGAATTGCTCTGATTCAATCTACTAGACTTTTACATAAAGGGATAGTTCACCCAAAAATGAAAATGTGATGTTTATCTGCTTACCCCCAGGGCATCCAAGATGTAGGTGACTTTGTTTCTTCAGTAGAACACATTTGATGATTTTTAAGTCCAGCCGTTGCAGTCTATCAGTCGTATAATGCATGGCAATGGTAACAAAATCTATGAGAGTAAATTTTCGGGTGAACTATCCCTTTAACTTCTGTAGCAAAAAAAAGTGATGTTCCGTATTTTTTTCCGTTTCAAATGTCTAAATCAAAATTAATTAAGAAGTGTTGTTTTCTGAGAAACTGAACAAAATGAAATGAGTTTATGATTAAAACAAGAACCGAGATAGGGTCAGAAAATAAATTTAATTTAAAAGAAAAACAACGGTTACACTTTATTTCGATAGTCCACTTTAGACATTCTATTAACTATAAGTAACTTTGTAACTACATGTCAACTACATGTCATCTAATTCTCATTAATTTCTTTTTCATACCCCACTGACAGATATTTTTTTCATGTTTTAAGCATAAACTCATTTCATTTTGTTCAAAACAACTCATTTTCATTTTGCATCTCAAGTAAATGTTTCTTGATGTTTTTGTAGTGTATGCATTACTTTTAATGAATTTAAGATGTTCCGTTCTGATTTAAAACCTATTTAAGGTCTTTATTTGTGGGTAAATTAAGACTTTAAGAGCTTTTTAAGACCCCGAGGAACCCTGGATAACCTTAAGGCTGTATAGGTTCAAATCCCAGATGTGGTGATTCATAAAAACCTCAGACAAATGCTCCAGAAGACTGTCCTGAACGTGACCCACTGAAACCAGCCTAATGTGATTAACCGAACCGGTCTGCTTTGATGGTTTTAGAGGGTTTTCATGGTCAGGCTGAGAAATCCTGTATTAAATGAAGAATAACTGACCGAGAGTTGCTTTAGTTATTCTGAGATCCATCACGAGGCCATTGAGAAAGCAAGATTATTTTTCTGACCTCATTGGCAGATATGTTATTATTCTTGTTTTATGCAAAAACTCGCTTCATTTTGATACATTTGACAGACAATAAGACTTAATTTCTTTGCTTCATTTTGCTTCAAGCAAATGTGTCTCGATTTAATCCTCATAATGCATTCATGCCCATTTTGATCCAGAAGAGAATCATAAAAATTTCTACAAAATGCATAGTTTTTATTAAGGGAACAAAACTTTGAAAACACACATTAACACCATAAAAATACACATCTATTTTTTTTTTTTTTTCAGATTTTGTTAGTTATTTTTTAAGAGATATAATATTAAAAAAAAGTTTTGCATTTTCGGTTTATTATTCTGAGACCCATCACAAAGCCATTGCAATAAAACGTAATAAAATAAACTTAATTAAAAGAAAAAGGTAAGATTATTTTTTCCAACCCCATTGGTAGATATTTTATTATTCTTGTTTTGAGCAAAAATACACACGATTTTTCATCATTTTTGGATCATGCTTGGTACTTTCACGGTCCTAAGCGAACAACGACTTGAAATGTGTGTTTTTTTTTTCTCTCTCAGGAAAATCAATGTAATATAATTTTTTTAATTATTTTTTATTGTTATATATTTTTTTGCATTATTATTTAGAATTTTGAGGGGATTGTATGATACTACGCAATATTTATAAAATCTTTACAAGCAATTTTTTTCCACGGTCACTTTTGACCGTCAAGTGTTACTTTTTTTATTTTCCGACCTTTAACATATCCAAATCATGTCCGTGATTTTTTTGTGTGTTCACATAGCTACTGCGAAAAAAGCCACCAATTTTCTCCCCATTCTGATATAGCAAAAAAAAGTAAAAATTCAAAACGTAAATTTTCCAGCCGAAGAGGCCCATTGAGAAGCTTGACCTTCATCAGTACAGATGAACGACTGTCAGGAAGCCACAATCAAGCAAGAACCTCCACTAATCGATCAGTGATTGATCAATGCGACAGTCTCACCTGGCGGCACCCATGGGTCCAGCGAAGGCTTTTCACTGGAGTCGATCTGCTCCCAGTCCAGGTCATCGTCTCGCCCTTGGCTGTATCCGCAGGACGAGAAGGGCTTCTCGAAGTCACAATCTCCTGAAACAAAAGGACAGACATTTATATTATCAGCGCTTTTCCCATTACCGTGGCCTGGAAATGAGAGATTCTTCCTCCTCGGTTCTTTCCGTCATGATGTGGCCGCTCGTAATGCAATATATTACAAACAGCAGCAGCGCTTAAACCGAGATGAAGAGCGATTCGAAGCGAACGCGCGCCACAACACATATATTACCATCATTAGCTGCGCCGCATACCAATTTCACAATGACAGAAATGAAGTGTCCAAACTCTATCATCGTTAAACGCTGGGCTGCCGCCGCGCCAGCGAGCATAAATGTGATTCATTTCACAGCGGCGTGCGACCAGGCTTCTCCTTCACATCATCCGCCGTCAGCTCTCATTCATCCTAATTCTCCTCGCGGGACGCACAATGCCGACCCTCATCTGTGCTTTTAATTCCTGCAATAAACAGGTGAGAATGAACAGAGGAACACATTAAAATTTAAAGGATTCTGTGGCTCTTTGACTGTCAAACACTGATGTTTTTGGTTGCATATCCCAACCAGACGGGCTCAACCGTGAGTTTAGTAAGAGTTTGTTGTAGGACTATCTGTTGCACGCTGCAAAAATATGATTTTTTTTTTTACTTATTTGCATTGCTTTTCAGTACAAATATCTAAGTATTCTTGAATCAATATACATTTACTGTAGAAGCAAAATGACTTTATATGATATTGCATCTTGTTTTCTGAAAAATGCATCACAATCATGTGAGTTAATGCTTGGAGCAAGAACAAATATCTGCCAATGTGGTTATTCAAAGTGAAAATTATTTTTCTGTCCCCATTGCCAGATATTTTATTACCCTTGTTTTGAGCAAAAACTCACTTAATTTTGATACATTTGTCAGAAAATAAGACTTAAGTCATTTTATAGAAAATAGAAAATAACAGAAAATAAGTCATTTTTTAAATATAACGGTATCTTGATTTAACCCTCATAAAGCATTTAGGTGCATTTTGACCTGGAAGAGATACATCAAAAAAGACATAGTTTTTAGTAAGGGAATGGCATTTTGCAAATTATTTAAGAATGTATTTATTTGTGTATTTATTTATTTGATTTTTTTTTTACAATAAGTTTTTAAGATATATATCTTTCAAAAAAATTTTGTTTTGTGTTTGGGTCATTTTTGAACCGGGTATGTATGGAGCACAAATAGTGTCAAAAAATTTAAAATTTGTAAAATTGTATGTGGAGTTATATTAGTGCCAAAAACCTTTTAAAAACAAATTTAGCCTTTTCCCCATTTCTCACACACTTTTGGACTGAATTTTGTTGATGAACATGAATATGTACGTCAATTGATGAACCACTGCAGCATGAAAAACTGATCACTTTTTTCACCAAAAAACTGAAAGTTTATGCAATTAAAATCACATTACTTTGTTTGAAAACTTTTTCAAGTAATATTTATTTATTTATTTATTTATTTTTAGAAATAAATATGTATGTTTTATAGTGTGTAACTGCAGATATATGGACAGTCAGTGAGTGATTCAGTCGTCAGGCTGTTAGTGTGTGATGTTTTAAAGCCGCTGCTTCACTGATGACAGATATACTCCATTGTCTTCCTGCAGATTCATGCAGTAACTGTTATCTGATGATATATTCAGGCTTTTGTCCGCTTACACAAGCGAGAGGACGGCAGATTCAGTGAGCGCTGAAAGGAGAACAAGTTCATCTTCTATTCTGCGCGCGTCAGGAGACACTGGAGGTGACAATGGAGACAGACAGCCTTGAAAGAGCCGCTCTGACAGCAGTTCTCCAGAGCGGGAGCGTACAGTGAGGAGAGAGTTCAGTCACTGTCTGCATGCACTTCACCGGCTTTATTATGATTAACGCAAACACAGATACATACAAACTAACAGAACTAACGTAAAATACATTTGGCATCATGGCACCAAAACTGACAAAAAAAAAGAATATCCATCAACTGATTTTAGTTTTTTTTACACATGATATATATTAAAAACAACACAAAGAAAAAAAAAACCTTTACAGCTCGCAGTGTTGGGAAAGTTACTTTGAAAATGTATAAGGTTACAGATTACAAGTTACCCTGTTTAAAATGCTTTTGGACTGAATTTTGTTGATGAACATGAATATGTACGTCAATTGATGAACCACTGCAGCATGAAAAACTGATCACTTTTTTCACCAAAAAACTGAAAGTTTATGCAATTAAAATCACATTACTTTGTTTGAAAACTTTTTCAAGTAATATTTATTTATTTATTTATTTATTTTTAGAAATAAATATGTATGTTTTATAGATTTGGACTGTTTTTGAGCAATCATGAGTTAAAAAAATTCAAAGGAATTTAATCAAATTATGCCCTTATAAATTTATTACAATGATTTATTCAAATCAAAATTGGTTCAAGTGGAATTTGAAATTTCAAAGAATTTCAAATTTCTTTTTTTTTTTTTTAAAGGGGTAAATGCAGTAATAATGTGGCAACATTCAAAATTATTTCACATTCACTCATTAATGAGAAGTTGCTGATTAGATAGAATATGGTTTTAATTGAAAAATAGAGAGTGTTCACGATTCTTCGGATCCAAACGGACCTGGAATGTGAAAATAGTCAACAGATTTTGCATGCATTAAGAAAGTTTAGACATTAGCACTGGAAAATAATACAGAAACACTGAGGAAAAACATAATTTCTTTGCAGTGCAACTAACCAGCTGCTTTAAACATCAAAACTTCAGCTTTAATGTAAAAAGTCTTGCTGTGCATCATTGAATGTCAATGTCAAAGTCAGATTTATTGATATAGCACGGCATAAATTGAAAGTGCTTTACAACAATAAACACAAAGCCCTAAAAGAATAGAACTGCTCTTGAATGTAAGCATCTTTTACTGTAAATTCACAGTTTTAACTGAAGCTCGGCCGTGACTGATGGACCGCTGCAGAACTACGACCAGCGTCCAAGGGAAATTAATGTTTAAGGCTGTAATTATGGGTAAACAGAAATGAACAGGTGCGAGGAAACGATTATTGGCACACTTTTAGCCCCTTTGCTTATCAGCGCTGCACTGAGATTTATTCTGAGTGCATCTGAACGAGCCGACGCAAGGCCAAAAGTTCTGTGCACTCCAGAGCAAATGGAAAATAATGGTAAAATAAATGAATATTTCAGGACGCGGCGCTGCAGTACTCGCAAACTCACTGTAAATCAACACAGGAACTGCTACACACACACACACACACAAATCAGCAACCAAACACACCCATTTAACACACACACACACACCTTCCTCTGCGCACAAATGCACAGTAATGCTTGCATAAACAAGAAAAGCCGAAAAACACCTTTTACATGCCAGATCTGATCAATCACTCTTTGTGTGTGTGTGTGTTCACAACCCTTTTTACTTCCATAATGAGTGTATGCAACAATACAGAGTAGGATGTATACTGTAGAATATATACCATGCTTCAAGAAAAATAATTATGAATTGGTAAAAAACAAAAACAAACAAATATATATATATATATATATATATATATATATACTATTGTAATTATGTAAGTTAGGCATGTATGTGTGTGTGTTAGTGTGA